TCTATATATGGGGAGGTTCAGTTTTTAATCCAGTAAGCCTGGCTCCAAGGTGGAGACCAGTTTAAAGGTCCTGCTCAAGTTCTGGTTGCCCTCCTGCCTCGGCTACCCTCTTCCACTGAGCCTGCCCGTTTGCACCTGATACTGTCTGCTCCTGTGCGTGTCCGCCTGGTCATGCTTCTGGACTCTGAACCTGCCTGGAGCTCTAGGATGCCTGGAAGCCTGGATCCTGCCGATTCTGTCTGTTACTGCCTGTTCTAAATCCCTGCCCAGGATCAGCTTCCTGCATGTTTTGCTGCACCTTGGACACTCAGTGATGCATGCCGCGTCTGTCTTCAGTCCAGCGGCTGGATTGTGCCCCTTTTCAAGGAAGATGGACTGGACTGTTGAACAAGGTAAGTGACTCACTGCAATCATCATCTTCTGTCAGATGATCGTGGTCACTTACCTGTGTTTCTCCCACCAGAGTGTCTGAGATTGGGCGGCCCTCCTGCAGTATCCGCGAGCCACAGATCCTAGCAGATTTACTTTAGTTTTGTTGGTTTTCACTTAATAAACACTTTGAACTTTCCTACTGACTGTCTCACCTTGAATACCAGGTCCATCTGACGCATTTTATGACATTTATCTCCTCTTTCTTTTATCTTTTTTTCTGTTTCTCCTTTTCTGTAATGATACTCCCTTTATGAATTATGATAAAGCTATTTATATGCCTAAATCAAGTGGAAAACTATTGCGATAGCCGTACTGCTCCACTTGTGAAAGCAAAATCTGTTGGGCTCTTTTTGGTATCAAGACAATTATTCTTATTGCCACATTGCCAGACAGGACACTGTTAAAATAAATAAATAAAGGAGTGATTCTGCAGGTGGGGACCACAGATCACTTCTGACTGATTATGTGGTCACTTGAATGTTGGTTGAACTTTTACAGTTGTGGTAGCATGAGACGGACTCTACAACCAACACAAGTGGCTCAGCTACGGAAGCTCATCCAGGATGGGACATTAATGTGGCAAGAAGGTTTCCTGTGTCTGTCAGCATACTGTCCAGAGACTGGAGTTGCTTCCAGGACACAGGCCAGTACACCAGGAGACATGGAGGGGGCCATAGGAGGGCAACAAGCCAGCAGCAGGGCCGCTACCTCTGCCTTTGTTTAAGGAGGAACAGGAACACCACTTCCAAAGCCCTGCAAATGACTCCAGCAAGCCACATATGTGCATGTGTCTGTAAAAGCGGTTAAAAACCGACTTCCTAAGGATGGTATGAGGGCCCGGCATCCACAGATGAGGATTGTGTACACAGCCCAAAACCTTGCATGATGTTTGACATTGGCCAGAGAACACCAGACTCTGTGACAGACGTCACAGAGTCTGGAGAAACCATGGAGCGTGATCTGCTGCCTGAAACATCCTTTAGCATGACCGGTTTGGTTATGACACTGAGAACTAGGTTTGCAAACTCCATCAATAGACTAAATTGAGACAAAATCAGACCGACCAAACACAGCCCAATTTTCAACAACTATTTCTGGACTTAATCAAGACTATGGCAGACTGACTACATTTAGCCTAAAAACCAACATCTCAATCACATCTGGTGTTTGGGGGGAAATGTCATGTGACTCCATTAAACATGGCATTAAGGCATTAATGGAGTTCTGTGTGATACCATCAGATGGTCTTCTTAACCTCCTAATAAGTCTCCAACTGTAGCCCACAAAGTGCACCTCAGACGTCATTCTTTCAAAATGTTTTAAGTGGTTTTCAGTCTAACTGGGTCATGAAATTCCAGGATTATTCGTGGTTAACTGCTGACTGTCTCAAAGCAATGTATCTCAGACATAAAATGATTGATCATCTCTCAGGGAACCTTGAACTTTGCAATTATGTCTCTACAGATTTGGGTTTTGGCCTCACGCTATGCTTGCCTATTTTGTCCATAGCAAAGGGAGCCTGGCGCCTTCATGACCCCTGTGGCAATTGGACAATAACTGTTGTCAGTTTAGATTTCCGTTTATGAAAATTGATGTTCATTTTGTTCCCTCTACCCCCTTTTCTGGAAACTTTTTTTAATTTCCATTTACAAAACAAGTTCTTTACAACAATGATTTAGAACAAATGTAATACAATGAGACATCCCTATTTTCAAGCATGTTCTCTATTACTGCTGTTCAAAAAAGATCTATATTTTAAGAAACTAGAAGGTGTTTGCTTTCAAATGATGTT